ACTGGTTTTCAGTAACTAGCACAACACTGCTGATGTGTAGGTGATCCAGTATTTAGTATTGTTTAATGGAATGTATATCAGTGTATTCAAGTCAATACTTCATTTATTTAAACCAATATCTTTCTTGATTCTTTGTACAGTATGAAAAAATAGTCTTTGTACCTGTGCTGAAGTTCACTGTTGTGAGGAGTCCAGTTCTGTCTCTCACTCTCTGGTCCAGCCTGTCTGCATCACCTGGACACCTTAAACAAACAGATATATATGTAAAGTACCATGTGTACAAACAATATAACTTATTCTCTTCTGTTGAACATGTTGGATTATGTATTGTCCGAGTCAGGGTCCTTTTTATTTTACTGTAACTTTGGAAGTTGTGTTACCAATGCTTACTGTTTATTTGATATCAATTTGGTAATGCAATTAATAAAAACAACAAGGTTTGGGTTTGTTCTTCAGATATGACTGACGTTAACGTGTAAGCTCAATAATGAACTCCAGCTCAACCAACCATATTGTAATATCTAACTAATCATCTTGAAATATGACATTAATAATTGTAATATACACACATCTTATTGTGAGGTTGATTTCACATACACTACTTCGACGTTAGCTAAATAGAAAATAGCATGGATAATTTACAAAGGCTTTAAAAACACAGCAGGAGCCCAAGACAATTATAAAACTTGTCATTATTTCAGCACAGTTCAATTGGTTTTATTTTCATAAACGGTTGTCAACCGTTAGTGCCAAAGCAGTAGGCTATAATATATGAATGACTGCTGTAGACTACAACCACTACTTGTTTAGCTAGCATAAACTCAACAAAGCTAGCTTTAGCTGGCTAACTGACGTTATTTTGCCGCTAAACTGCACGATATAAAACGGTGGTCTTCAAAGCGGATTTAATCCTCAATCACAATAATAATATTCAAAGTAATACTTGGCAAGTAATGGGCAAAATGTACCGTTGATTGACGCGCCATGTCAGCGGACTGGTAGCAATACGAACCGTTCGTCCCCCCACAGTCATCCGGTTCGACCTGACTGTGGCTGTGTGACTGTGTGTGACCATAGACTGTATATGTGTGACTGACCCGAGCCTCGTCGTTCTGATAGCTCCGCCCCCTCGCTCCTACCCCCTCCCTCCCCCCACATCTACAGGTGAAAATTACTTTTGCGACACATTTATCGCAAGAAGTGTAGCAAAAGTCAAGACCGCAGATTCGTCGATTTATACTGCCACAGAGCAGATTCGTCAAGTTGTAATGACTGATTTGAGAGGTTGTAATAACCAAGTTGCAGTTGTAATGGAAAATATATTTAAAAAATATGTATTTTTCTGCAAGTGAACATTTCATCACTAAGTTCATTTTTTTTCTACAAGCTACAAAACTTTTTTTTTCTTCTGTGACTTCAAATTTGGTTCACAATTACGTGGATATTTTTTACAAGTGTAAATTTGGTTCACAGTTACGTGGATATTGTATACAAGTGTAAATGTATGCACACAAGCTCAGAATTTTTTTCTGCAAGTGCTCACATCGGGGTTGCGTTCCAATAGTCCATTTAGCTTAGGAACCTTCCTAACGGAGTGAAATGACCCGGAAGTACGTCACTAGCAGCCATGATAAGTGCCGTTCCAATTCTCCAAATGAAAGGAAAGGAGGTTTCAAACTTCCTTTATAACCTCCTTTAGATTAGGAACCACTGGACCTCCCTAACCGAAAGGAGAGGAGAAAATGCTGCCCCACAATGCATTGCAGCCGCAGCATTGGCCGTCACTCAACAGTCGGCCGTTCACGGAAACAACCGATTATGACCGAGAAATGATATCATGAAAGTTACGGTGCTTATTAAGCATTTTAAAACGTATGTGGTAAGTTGCCAAAGTGCTTTGTTTTGAACGTTCATCAGTATTATAATCAAAAAGAGAAATATGAACGTTAGTTTTGACTGAAATGATCAAATAAAGTCAACATCTCACAGTCTTTACTGAGCTGTGTGGAGTTTGTTCAACTTTTCAAATATGTTTGAATGGTGATATACACAGTGATAGATGGTAAGGACTAACGTTTATAATAAATACATTTGTATTGATTTTAAGATATTTTCATACAATCATACGTATTGGGATCATTTGTATTAATGTGGACCGGAGGGAGAGGGTGACGAGCATAAGTTTCACTTTCCTTTTTTATTTAAATTCCAACTTTGGTCATGAAGAATATGTTTCTCTGTTGTCCACGTTCATAAAGCATAACACAACAGCATCAGAGCACGGTGCAGAGTCTCTAGATGAGTTTACAGTAGTCAGTGGTTCTTATTATACATCCATGTTGTAGTCCGCTGTATATAAAACTGTAGTTTCCATAGTTTCCCCACAGCAGCAGACGCACATTCATGACGTCCGCTGGCGCATCATAAACACGTCGGATAGTGAAAGTGCATTCGGATTCTCTAAAGTACCGCAGTCTCTTCTCCTAAATCCTTTTGAATTCTCCTATCCACTATCCCTTAACCCCGTGACGTTTCACTCAGAGGTCAAGGAATAGGAGATAGGGTTAGAATTTAGGAGCTGATTTTTTGATTATCGGAACGCAACCCGGGTTTTACACGCTCTCGACTCTGTGCACAAGATGGCGTCTATCAACTTCTGGCGGCTGGGTGTGCGGCTGAGTACTTCCGGTTTGAGTACAGAACTTTGACAGTTTGACAGGATTTCGGGGTAAAGAAAAGCGATTGGCCTTCCAGCATGTAAGAAAGTCAGCACTACATTGCTGTGTGCCCCTTTGTACAAATTCGTCCCGTTATCTGAATCAGAATACCTTTATTAGTCCCACAGAGGGGAAATTTGCAGCGTTACAGCAGGAAAGAGCCACAGACAGCTTAGTGTTGAATATCTTACATGCGTTAAAGGTGACATGTCATGCTTTTCCGGTTATTACCCGTCCCCTTGTGTGTTATGAAGGTTTTTATGCATGTAAACGGTGTGCAGAGTCAAAACCCTCAAAGTACACCATGTAGCGAGTAAAACTCTAAAACAGAAAATACCTCCCCAAAACGCCTCGTTGGAGATACGTCACTGTCCATGTCGTCCCCGGAACGAAATGGACCAATCCGTGGAGCCGTTACGTTAAGCCCCCGCTGATTGGTCCAAATTGACCAATCCACGGACTTCCTCACACACACACTCAGTGCAGGCAGCTCTGCTGATTTCTCCTCCCTGACTGCAGGCTGATAACAGACAGTTGGGATCGCGGTGAAATTCTCTCTGCAGACCCATTCTCACAGCGTTTATCAACCTTTTTCTTACTCAATATCAAGCCACACTTATTGTTTTTACTTCGGCTGTGACTTTGTGTGTGCTCAGGGTGAGTTTGGCTGTGTATCGCTAAACAAGGAAATAACACCTCCACGGAGCTCAGCGCGATTCACAACGTCCCGACCAATCGGAGCACACTGGGCTCACAGGGAGGGGGCGGGGGGGGGGGGGGCAAGAGCTGCAACGAGCCGTTTAGTGGAGAGAGTGAATACTGCTGAATACATACTATACAGAGATGCTGTATGAGAAACCAATGTGAGTTTGGAACATTGAACAATGTAAATCTATTCTAGTAGACCTCAACAATGGAATTATGATCAGTGGAAATGGCCATGACATGTGACCTTTAAAAAGTACTAAGTTATAATATAATAAACAATATGCTAAAAAAGTACTAAGTTATAATATAATAAACAATATGCTAAAAAAAAAGATTAAAAGTGACATAATTTTCAAAAATACAGATAAAAAACAAATCAAATCTACAAATCAAATCCTGTAGCAGTTCTTAGGATTTAGCAGCCCGGTATATATATTACAGTTATTAAAGATGGCATATGTATATAAAGTATATATTGCACATAAAGCACATAGTTTGACGGTATTTAACAGCAGCAAGTTACACAATGTTATAATCGGGAGATAAGTTTCCATTCATTTCGGCAAGCCTGGGCAACAACGATTAAAAGATTTCTTGCTCCCAAACCAATTGTGTATTTCATTACAAAAAGCAGTTATACCATACTATGTTTAGGTACTAATGAATTATATCCTCAAAACAAACGCACACATAAATAACAAAGGAAAATACATAATTTAATAAATCCACAATATGATAACATTTTACAGATTAATTTAATAAACTTTTACAAAACATAGGTTGATGTTATATCGGGGGGGGAAATACATATTTAAACATTTCAATTAGTCTGCATATTTAAGTAATGCTAGTTTATATAACAGATGAACAGATGTACAATATCCAGAAAGTAGATGCAAAAAATATATATAATGTGTGCATTTCCAACATATAGACATTTTTATTGATTGGGATAAACCCCTTGAGATGCACCATCTCGTTTTCAAGGGGGTCCCAACAATAGCAACAACTTACAGACATACATAAACAAAAAGACAAAATGCAAAACATGACACACAAGACAAACCACATACAGTCTGTTAAGTAAAATTCAAGCAATGCATACAATCATTACAATTTGAGACAGTCAAGCAAATCAGTTTCATCAATATCAGTTTCATTAATAACAAGTACAGACCAGTTGAAAGTGAGATGATAATGCATGTTTAAACATACCCAATGATGCAAAAGATCTAATAGCAGAAGGTAAAGTATTCCAGTCAGTTGGGGCTTTGAAAATGAACGCTCTTCTGCCAATCAATTTTTTTGTAGAGGGGACAGAGAAATAAATCTGAACAGAATGTCTAACTTGATGAATTGGTGAGTAGGGTACAAAATACTGCTTTAAATAAGGGGGATAGTTAAGATAAATGCATTTAAATATCAGCTGGAGCCAATGCGTGTGTCTTCTTACATTTAAAGAAGGCCATTTAAGTTGGTTATACATTGTGCAGTGATGTGTACGAAAAGGACAACCAAGAACAAATCTGCATAGTCTATTGTAGGCTATGGTGAGTGGAGCAAGATCTGATTTATGTGCATTTTGGTAGACAACATCACAATAGTCCATAATCTGAAGAATATCCTCTGAAAGAGTGTTAGTCGTTGAGTTGAGTAGTGAGCCATTCCTTTTTTTTTTTCGGTTTGCGATGTCTGCTGAGAAGTCCTTGTATACCTCGCTGACTTTGAGGACATCTGGGTCTGGCAGCTCCCCCCGCACGGCCTTGTAACGTGTACTCCTTTGAACATGTTTATATGATAATTAGGACTTTAAGAACAATTTTACACTCAGACAACAATCACAAAGTTGTAGCAGGCTACATACAATTACTTAGGACAATATATTACCTTACACCGTCAGCAACTGTAAACTGCTTTGGCATAGTGGAAATGAACACCATGTCACTCACTCTGCCTGGTTTCACACCCTATTAATTATACAAAAGAATTGTCAATTTAATTGAAAAGGTTGTTGATGCAACATACTAAATCAGCTCTTGGCACAAAGGAAATACTCATTAAATCGTGGATTGGTTGTGAACACATACTGTACTTACCTCGGTTCTTGTTAGGGTTAAGGTAATGTTGTGAAACGAGTGGCCCATGGTGGTGGTGGGGTTATGGTAGGGCTGTGCAATTAATCGTATTTTAATCGCGATTACGATTATGAAAACAGCATAATTGACAAAATACGATTATTTTGCTGGGTGCGCTTTCGCCCCTCCCTAAAAGCCCACTCGGCCACGTGGGAGTGACATGTGTTGTGAGTGTTCAGCGCGAGCGAAGATGTCAGAACAAGAGCAGCAACTCGTTAAAAAGAAGGGTCAACTATTTCCACTATTTGCAAGTACTTTGGCTTTCAGGAGTCCGACGTGGAGCAAAATAAAGTACAGTGCAGGATTTGTTACCAGGTTGTGTTGGCACCACACGCTAACACAACCAATCTCTTTAATCATCTGAAACAACCACAAAGTGCAATACGACCGGGCAGTAATACAACAAAAAGCAGATGCCCGCTCGACTTCATCCACCACATCATCACAGTCATCGATTCAGGATGCATTGTACAGAGCAACGGCCTACGCGACGAGCTCGCAGAGACAAAGAGATATTACAGGTGCCATTACATTTCACATCGCTAAAGATATGTGCCCAGTTAGCACTGTTAGCAACCAGGGCTTTAAGCAACTTGTCAACACGTTGGACAAGCGTTACGCGATGCCGTCTCGGTATTATTTCAGCAGGTCTGCGCTGCCTGCACTATATGACAAATGCCGTGGGGAAGTTGAGAGAGATGTGGCTTCAGCTGACTACTTTGCTACCACAACAGACCTATGGTCTAGCCCAGGGGTGCCCAACCAGTCAATCGCGAGATGTGTCTAAAAATAGAACAACAATATTCTGTTTTATGTCCTGTAACATAATCTTCCTGTGCCAGAATAATGCACTTGAACGCATCAAAGCTTTGTGATTGGCCGGCGTCACCCCATGTGTCGGGGCGTGGCTGAGGGTCTTCAGTACAGGTGGCAATATTGTCACCTGACTGCGCTCATCTCTGAAACCAGACCATGTAAACAGGCTGGTGTTTCTTGCAAAAAATCTTTAAGAGATGACATGAGCAGCCCTACCAGCATTTGCCATGGTGGCCTAAACATTTTTTTTTGGTCTTAAATTGTAGTTCAACATTTATTTCCTGTTACTTCTGGACCATGACGGTTGGCCAGCCTTCAACGTTTAACTGAGTGGAATATGTTGAATATGTTTTACCAAAATGTTGGCTATATGTTAAGGAGTTTTCAGTAGGTTGTGACAGTGCACTGCATCATATTTGATTTAATTTATTTTTGGTCTAATTTATTTATCATATTAATAATATATGTTTAGTATGGTTTTGGAAGTGCGCTCCAACATATTTGTTGATCTTGTTTATTGGTAAAATATTATTTGTTTTAAAGTTCAATATATGGTCAATGAATAATCGTCAAAAATAATCGTGATATCAATTATTGACCCAAATAATCGTGATTATGATTTTTGCCATAATCGCACAGCCCTAGGTTATGGTATGGGCAGGCGTATGTTATGGACGACGAACACAGGCCACTCGATTCACAACATTACCCTAACCCTACCCCTCACACCAGATACTGACTGGTTTTCGGACCCCCCCAATAAAGCAAAAATACACGTTTCAGAGTGGCCTTTTATTGTGGCCAGCCTAAGGCACACCTGTGCAATAATTATGCTGTCTAATCAGCATCTTGATATGCCACACCTGTGAGGTGGGATGGATTATCTCGGCAAAGGAGAAGTGCTCACTATCACAGATTTTTTCAGATTTGTGAACAATATTTGAGAGAAATGGTTATTTTGTGTATATAGAAAATGTTTTAGATCTTTGAGTTCATCTCATGAAAAATGGGAGCAAAACCAAAAGTGTTGCGTTTATTTTTTTGTTCAGTGTAGCTAGCTACCAGTTGATGTGAGCAAATGTATTGTCACTATGTAATCTGTTGCAACACATCAGCTAGCTGGGCTTATTTGAATCCTAAATCACAGGTTACCTACTCTTGCCACATCAAAACCCCAGAACATGAACCTGATTGAGGCTTTGAACCGATTAACACTTTTTATTTTCCTCCCTACTCTGAGATCGTGAGGCTTTTCATGCTTTCTCATGGACCTGTAACAGCTAGCCCTGACGCTCACTCTCCCTGAAGGTAGATCTTTGTTTGAAACTGTGGGGAATTGGATATCATTCATGTTATCCAAAAAAACGTAATAGTACATCATTAAAACGATTTACACTGTATCAAGACTGTACATTTGTCAAAGTTAGCCAGTAACTACAGCTTTGTTTGTCACTTACCTTCATAATTGTCGACGTAGCTGGATATGTAGCTACATCTTGAACCCCTTTTCTCTTTTGCTCCTCGGGGCTGAGCCTGCCGCTTGTACCAGCCGATGTACATCACTGATGTTAACCTTCGGTAGGTCTTGGAGACATCGAGTGTAAAATAGTGCCTATATAATATCTATACGCTATCTCTCTCGCTATCTATACGCTATCTATACGCTATCTATACGCTATCTATCGCACTTCCCTCTACCGCTCTACTGTAGACCGGAAGTTTACAACCGCACACCCAGCCGCCGGAAGTTGATAGACGCCATCTTGTGCAACTAGCCCATACCAAGCCCCCAGGAAGTGCGCCGGACTCAGATGAAAATATTCGTGCTGGCCAAACGGCGGTACTACACTTCCGTTTGGTTGCCAGGCCCGGAAACACTTTTTCCCATTGACTTACATGGGGAAAGAGTGGTCTGTAACTCGTTGGATACTTTTTTTTAAACTAAATAAACTACCCAGTATGAACACTTGTATAGCCCTTATTAAAAACATTCGTTCCTCAAGTTGTAATAATGTGCTAATAACGTTATTCTGAGAGTTATTTCCCTCTGCATTATGAACGCGCATCTAGCCCACGGGACCGCGCCGCCTGGCACGTTCATGTTACGTGTCCCGACCAATCAGAGCACACTGTGCTCACAGGGATTGATTGATTGATTGATTGAAAAGTTTAGTAACAGCTTGTATATTGGGTACAGTACAGTACAGCTCAAAACATACAATTGTTAAGGGGATGCAGACCAGAGAAAGACTTTTGTCTTGTTTACATCAGGGTCCCCCATTTCCAATTCATCATATCATTTAAGACATATAAGACATATTTGACATACAGATGGCTTATTTACAATTTACATACAGGTGGTTTTTTTACATACAGATTGCTTATTTACAATTTTCATTTTAGATTTCGTTCTAATACATCCTAACCGGACATTTAAGACATACCAAGTCTACAGATATACAGTTAGTAACAGAGTCTAAAATGTGAGTATATACATAGATGGGGGGGGGGAAGCTGTCCATTGAACGACAGGTTGAGATTTGTACCATTACCGGGGCCAGTTTTGCAATGCTCTCCCCCGAAGGTGCTCTTTAAGAGAGGTTTTGAAGGTAAGTATAGTTTTACTTTCCTTTACAGTTGTGGGAAGAGCGTTCCACCTTGATGTGGCATAATTGCGAAACGTGTATTCCCCCTTTTTTGTGCCAAATCTGGGTTTCACATGATTTGTGGAGCTCCCTCTGGTGTTATGATCATGGTATTCCTTGACCTTTGGGAATAATTTTGACATGTACATGGGTACCATAGAGGTGTAGTGGATCTTGTAGACCAGGCCCATTGCAAGTAGCTGTACTCTGTCGTCTACTCTAAGCCATCCTAGGTTGTCAAAGTGGGTAGAGGTGAGGTGGGTTCTAGATGAGAGGTCAAGCAGTAGTCTGACCAGTTTATTTTGCGATGTTTGAAGTTTTATTTTTAGCGCCTTGGAGGTGCTATGGTACCATGACGTGCAAGCATAGTCATAGTACCCTTGAATGAGTGCTCCTGCCAGAGTTTTCAGGGTGTTTTTGTTTACCAGAGAGGAGATCCGGTATAGGAATCTAGTTCTTTGATTGACTTTTTTTATTACATTGGATGCCATTTTATCACAGGAGAGGTTTGCCTCAAGAATAGATCCTAGGTATGTAATTTCCTTCTTACTTGTGACAATAATGTCGCCCACTGCAACTGAGAAGTCGTCGGATTTGCTGAGATTATGTTTCGAACCGAAGAGAATGGACTCTGTTTTACCCAGGTGTAATGATAATTTATTATCGGCGAGCCACGTGCAGATTCTGCCGAGCTCGGAGCTGAGGGTTTTTTCAACCTGCAACCTGTTCCTGTCAGAGACCAGCAGGGCTGAGTCGTCCGCGAACAGGAACAAGTTGCAGTCACATGCTGATGACATGTCATTTACATAAATTAGGAACAGTAACGGACCTAATATGCTTCCTTGTGGAACACCACAGCTCACTGGGAGGGGGGGGACAGAGTACCATTTACCTCCACCATCTGTTCTCTCCCCTCCAGGTAGGATTGCATCCAGCTCACCGATAGTTTGTCAAAACCAATTGCTTTTAGCTTGTCAATCAGAATGGGGTGATTGACAGTGTCGAAAGCCTTTTGTAGGTCCAGCATCACCATGCCGCAGTACTTGCCCTCGTCCACCTCTTGTTTGATGTGGTCGCTCAAATAAAGAAGGCATGTGTCAGTGGAGTGGGATGTTCTAAAGCCAGATTGAAATTCATAGATTAGTTTCTTTTCCGAGAGGTACTTTTCGACCTGTTCATATACTATTTTTTCCATGACTTTCGAGATGGAGGTAAGTATAGAAACAGGGCGGTAGTTGCCTGGGTCCAATTTGCTGCCCTTTTTGTGCAGGGGGGTTACTCTTGCAATTTTGAAGTCTTTGGGTACTTTTCCCTGTTTTATGGAGAGGTTAATTATGTGAGCTATGACTGGTGAGATGGCGGTTGCTGTGTCTCTGAGGAATTTGGAGGGGATATTGTCGTGGCCAGTGGCCTTGCTAGGTTGGAGGGCGCTCAGTTTAATGAGTACCTCTGCTGTTGTTACCCTTGCTAGACTGAAATCATCTTTGCGTACCCCTAGGTTTTTGTAGTAGGTCATGATGTGATCTACTCCAAAAAGCCCTGAGTGGGAGGGTAATTTATTTACAAGAGTTGTGGCTATGTTTGTGAAAAAAATGTTCAAGTACTTGGCCACATCCAGTTTGTCTGTGATGAGCCTGTTATCTGTCTTCATATTTAAGTTAGAAAATCTCGTTTTGAGTTTTTTACTGCAGCCAAGCTGGTTATTGAGTAATTTCCAAAGTGCACGGGGTTTATTTTTGTTTTCCTCAGTTTTGACATTGATGAAATTCTTTTTGGCAGTTTTGATCATGGAGCTTACGTCATTTCTTAGTCTGTTTCTTTCAATTTTTAGTTCAGTCACGTGAGCCTGGAGTTCACTGCTCGTGCTTTTGGAAAGCATTGACTGACTTTTATGAAACTCAGAGCATTTTTTGTCTCTGGTTTTCATGGCGGTCAGTATGCCGGAGTGCATCCACGGCTCAGCGCAATTTTTTACCCTGGTTGTTCTTAGGGGGGCCAAATCATTGAGTATTGCAGAGAATTTGTTTTTGAAACCAAGCCATGTTTCTTCAACTTGTGTACCACTGAGCTCATCTGACCAGTCCAGGCTCTCCAGTTCTAGGTTAAAGGCCTCGCTAGAGTAGTGTTTGAGGTCTCTAGATATGACTGTTTTGTGACAGCCGGCCCTTTGTTTTAGCTTTTTGCGGGTACAGAATATCATATAATGATCACTTAACCCGCATGCTATAACCCCTTTACTGGAGATCCTGGACTTGTCAGAGGTCAGAATGAGATCAATGGTAGTTTGTGTTGTTTCACATACCCGGGTGGGTTGGGTGATTAGCTGGCTGAAGCCGTGCAGATCACAAATCCTACTGAAGGACTTGAAGACGGACGTGTCTTTACGTTGCATATCCGTGTTCCAGTCTCCAATAATAATTGTCTCTACATCCCCCACATCAGCCAAACACCCATCTAATGTATCATAAAAGTCACTCTGTTCCGGTGGTCTATAGATTGTCCCGACTATTACAGATTTAGCATTGTCAAAAAGAATTTCAACCCACACAGATTCAATATTTTCATGATGCAGGTCAGTACGGTTTTTGAAATTGGTGTCTTTATGTATGTACATGCAGACACCACCTCCATTCACGTTCCTGTCCCTTCTCACTACAAGATAATCTTCAATTTCAATCTCTGAATCTGTAATGGAATTGTCCAATTTGGTCTCAGAAAAGCATAATATGCTTGCCTTACCGTTCATGAATAGCTGCCTGAGTTCAGCCAGTTTGTGTCTCAGGCTGTTAGTGTTCAGATGAAAAATATGTAGTCCATTTTTGTTGCTTAAATGCACAATGTCGTCAGCTTGCAGATATTTGTCTTTGTCCGTTACAGCAACCGGCTTGTCGTGGTGGGGTGGGGTGGGGTGGGGTGGTGTGGTGGGGGGAGGGAGGCTCCGTTGTAGCTTTAGCCGTTGATATGCTAGCAGGGTGGCTAACAACATGTCGGATATTTGTTCCCTCGGATCTCGGTTCTCTTCCTCTCGTCACTGCCTCATGCGTGTCTGTCTGCCAAGGCGTCCCCGGGGGAATCTCGAAGTCTCCGTTAATTCCTCGGTCTCCGCTGTCTCCACGGTCTCTGTTGTCGTCGCGTAGTTGTTGCTGCAGCGGAAGAGATGCTAATTGTGATGCTAGCTCCTCGAGCCTGCAGGACTGGCTTCTTGTCTGCACCGGGCCCGGATTCAGATGGATGTCTCCCGCTAACAATAAGACCAAGACGATCATACTTCTTCGGTCTAGTTTGCCTGACGAGGGTGGGGCTGGAGCTATTGGAGCTACAACGAGCCGTTAAAGGCAGAGAGTGAAATTCAGTGAATACACGTAGTTTACAGAGATGCTGTATGAGAAACCAATGTGAGTTGCGTTTATCTTTACCCATGGATAAGAACGGATCCATATCGTCTTACTGCCATCCCACGGAGCTGTAATAATGGATATATTGCACATGTTTGCTGTAATTCATTATCATACTACATGGGCTGTATGATTAAATCTTGTACCCTAAATGTTGTATTAAATAAAGTTAATATTACCGACATTATTAACGTCCCTGTAGCTTCGTATTGCACTAAGAAGCTTATTGCACTGTAGGCCTATATAAATATATATATATACAGTGCAATAATTATTTCATGCTAAATGAAGCTCTGTTGGATATCACTAGATCCTGTTACAGCGTAATATAAGTACATAACGATTGATGTGTACATTAGCATCATTACTAGCTAGCTGCTAACTGCCGCCTCGTTCATATCAAATCCATGATAACAACATCCATTACCATGCTGTTACGTGTACGCAAATTGACGTGCTTGATGTGAACGAGCATTTTGGTTAAAGTTGCGCATGCTCTATGAGCGCATATGCGGGTACTTCTCAGGCATGCTGGGTAATCTGTGACGTTTCACTCTCTCAAAAGGTGGGCCATTTTATCATCATGCGCTAATGAGCAGCTCTCATAGGAATGAATGAGGCCCCGCCTCCCACGCTGTATCCAGTTCTTATTATACATCCATGGCCCATACTGGCGTCAGTAAAAAAGGTTTTCCCCCCAAAGCGCAAATGTCAAACTCCGCCTATGCATCAGACTACAAAGT